TTGTGTTCTTAGTACTCTGTCCCCCTTTACCCTCAATCTACAACATATCATGTGTTTGTTTTGTTTATTGTCCTGTTTGATACCTGTTCTAATTGGTCGCTTGTAAGCACAAGGGGACTATCCCGAAAAATGCTGTTCTGAGAAAATTGAAAGTAAAGTTTTTGCCCCATGTTCAGTTTCTTTAGAAAACAAGGAGAGTTTTCTCTATAACTAAACAAATATACACACTAATGAAACCAAACTTCTTCTATAGGTAGGGCATCGCCCACTTTTGGTCAAGATTTCTGGAAACCCCTGAAATCCGGGTTAGCCCGCTTGTCCTTAAAAGTGACCAATTCTTTGTTGTAGTGCCTGTTTGCCAGGGGTGGTAGGTCCCATTGTCATCTGTTTCTTCTATTTCTTTTCTGCGTCCAATTTGTTGTTTTTTAATCTTGGTGAAATCGAATCAACTTACTATCAAATACAAGCCTTTAACTTTAAATGAATGGATGATGGTTTAGTAAAATTCAGAACTGATGTTTTGTCAATTTTTGCAGTACAGATTACTTTATTTGTGCTCAACCAAACGAATTTTTTACTAGGAATATCTTTTTTCCTTTTAAAGTAAAGGCCTTTTTAAAATGGCTTAAAGGATTTCAAAGAGAGGGAATTTGTAAGTTTTTTTTCTAATAGATCTAATTCTATTGTACGGCAGTACAAGTTCTTAAGTAGTTTTGATAGAATTCTTTGGAAAAATATAATATAATGCTTGTTTCATTTGGTGTTCAAACAACCCACAAGACTTTTCAAACTTTGTAATATTTTAGCTCAAGATTTTTCATTTTGTGAATTTTGCCAGTGTTGTTATTATATTAAACAATTCGTGTAACCAGCAGAGTCTGTTTTTGCGGAAGAGAAGTAAAATAAAAATTTACTCACCCATATTTTTAGTGTTGATAGACAAGAACTGAGTGAGCAACGCGAAGGAATAGGAAAACAGCACTGGTTTCAGAGTCACTGAAAGCAATAGTTTCGAATACTGGTCAACAATTTATTCCCAATGGACCAAGATTTTGCCTTCTTATTTATATATATAAGTTGCCTCATCTTTGTCCTTTTCTTTTAAGCTTAGAAAAAGGACGCCATTTTATTTTATTTTCACGTTTTACAGTTGCTTACTTACAACAGAGATGATGTGTTGTTTGCTGTGATTTGTCTTGTCCTTCTTCATATTTACCTGTATATTCTAATCCAAGTACTAAAGCTAATTCTCATATATACCCATGCTTTGGTCTCTTGACGTGAAAGTACCTTCTTTTTTTTTCCTCTTGGCTGCTTTTGCTTCTGATGCTAATGTTTGAAAATAGCAGTCTGTCTGAAGTAGCAGATATTTTTGCAGTGATGGCTCTGAAGTTAGTTTCGTGTCCACTTATTTAATTCCCTTTACCCTGTGGGAAAGTGCCAATGTTTTGCCTTACTTCTCTGTTTATGCAAAAAAAGTTATGAAATTTTGCAAACTGAACCCAAAAATGTGAAATCATGCGATTCTGTTAATTCTAACAAAGAATGATAAATGAAAATAATCAGAAATCATGCAAAAAATGATCAAATTTTACTAAATTATATGGGGTGCATAAAACCCCGGGGACAGAGATATGGAATCTGTTTTACCATTTACAGTGGGTGGTTGGAGGGTGCTACTGGTAGGTCCTGCTTCTTTTCTTTTGCTTTGTTGCCTCTGTCTCTCATTCTGTCTTGCTTCTTTCCTGCACTATTTGACTGTAGTAATCGGAGTAATCGGGTCGGTGTGCTTCTATACTGAAAATGTAGCTTAAACGTTACAATTTAATAAGCCCATTTCTAGATTGTGTGCGGGTATTTCTTTTGCCCAGATTTGGTTAACACTTTGCCATCATATTGTTGGGAAAATCCAAAGAAAATGTGTGGTAAATATCGCCACTCGGCGAGATAAGGCGACAAAGTGGTAAACACGTATTGTTGAGGTACAAGTCTGGTGTATCCAGATGTGGCTTTTTGAAGTGATGATAGGACATTGCTGGGGTTGGGTGACGGGCGGGTGGCTGCTGGATGAAGAAAAAAAAATTGATGCTTGTTTGACCTCATTATTTCGTTATATGTTTTGAGATTCCTCACACCTTCCACGCGCCCCCCGCCCGCACATACACACCTGCCATCATATTTTCTTTATGACTTACATCGTGTCAGCTCTCTCTTCACTGTTGGTGGTTGGCGGGTGCTCTGGTGTGGTTTGCTCCATCTTTCCCATCAAACATGTTACTCTCTTGTAACACCTCTATTCTTCGGCACTTATATGACCTTATTGTGTTGCAAGTGCCGTAAAACTCTTACTAAAAATAAACCTCTTCTTTGCCTGTTTAGCCTCTGACTCCAGGTCCCCCCTTTCCTCCCTCCCTCATCCTCCCTTCTCCCTCGAACAACCTCCTCACAAGTAATTACCTTGTTTGCTACTAATGCTACATCTTCTTTACCGGATCAGCATCACCAATAGCCACATGAAATCCTTGCCCTGATTCATGGGGTTGCTCTCCATCACAGCATTGTCTATTCTGTCCCCGTCATTTTATGCAAGAAAAATTTTGAAATTATTCAAACTGAGCCCAAAAATGTAAAATTATGCGATTCTGTTTAATTTCAACAAAGAATGATAAAGGAAAATAATCAGAAATTATGCAAAAAGTAATCAAATTTTGCTAAATTATGCGGGGGTGCATAAAAATCACAGGGACAGTCTATTTGTTGGCAGCCGCAAATTTTTCTACTATAAGTTTCCCTTTTGTTTTCTGTTTGCCTTCTGCCAAAATGTAGCCATTATCATATCAAGTAGCGTGGCCTGTGTAAGCCTGTTCCCAATGCTGCCTCTTTTAGCTAGCTTTGGTTCTATCTTTTCATTTTGTTCATAGTTCTAAGACACATAGAGCATGCTGTAGAGAATAGAAATGCGCTATATAAATGCAATGATTATTGTTATTAGCATTAGCATTATTATAATCATTATTGATATTATTATTTTTATTCTTGTTATAATATTGTTGTTATCATTATTATTATTATTATCATGATGATGATTATTATTATTATCATTATTATTGTTATGATCAATAGTAGATATTATTTATTATTATTATGACTGCTTATTTTTTGCATCCAGCGGCTTGCTAAGTCCATAATTTCAGACGTAACTTTTTCCAGCTTTTAATTTTATAGCACCATTCTTTCAAGCTGGAAGGAAATTATTAATTTTGTAGTAAGATTCTGCTTGAGAGATAATAATGGGCCTACCCAAATGTGGTATTTCAACAGGTGTAGAGTTCCAGATCGAGATAACGTCGTAACTGAGAGAAGTTTGTGTTTTCTGTTTGTTACTAATCTGATTCAGCGTGCAAATGATTTTGAATCCGGGTGCAAATAATTTGTGACCGCTTAGTGACCTCACAGGTGGTCTCACAAAAAATGGAAAAAAAAAGAAATATCTAAATATAATAGAACCCTTTGTGTGTCATATTGACTCAGACCGAAGCGCTAGAACCCAAATGGTCGCAGGATTGGAAAAGTAAAGTAAAGTAAAGTAAGTGTCATATTGAAATTTTTCAAAATGAGAAAAACTATTCAACGACACTCAAAAAAAGGGTTGAAATGTAAGTGGTAGGGAAAAAAGAAGAGAGAAAAGTGATGTGAAGAAAGGAAGGTAGTATTAGAAAGAGCTGCTGTGAACGGTTCTGCCTCAGAACACAGGAGACCGTCTGCCGCTGTGAACGGCACTACGGGCTGAATTACTTAAGTTTTCAAATGAAAGAGGGATCCTCAGCTTTTAGAAAGTAGCAAATGCTCGATAATGTGTTCTTTCCTGGGTAATGTTTGCTGGTTGTTTTTTGTTGTTGTTTTTTTTTAAATGTATTTGCTTTCACTGCTATTTTGAAGCTCTAAAAAAATATAGGCTTATTAATGCATTATAATATAAAATGTTAGAAGTTACAGTTTGTAGTGAAGATCAAGTTATATCATTGTGTAAACTAGATCTAAATACACACACACACACACAAATACACACTCTCACACAAAGTTTAGTGTCAATTAATGTATCTTTCTTACTAGAAGTAAGCCTACTCCTAGTGTCACAACGTTCTTGAAGTGTTGTAAATTCTTTGGTTTACTGTGTTCCTTTAATGATTTATTTTCTTTTCAGTATTATAGTATTAGTACTAGAAGCACAACTCGGTCAGACTTATTTCCACCATCCCACTCAGCATGAATCTTGTATATATATATATATATATATATATATATATATATATATATATATATATATATATATATATATATATATATATAGCCTACTTTGCAAAGTTGGAAATACGGTAGTTCTTTTTTGATGAAACAACCAGCCTGAAACAATGTTTGGTACTAAATTTGTTTAAGTAATGAGAATTATCAAACATATAGGTACAGACAAACAATTTTCAAGACGTTCCACTCCCTTGGCTTCGCAGGTATCGAAAACGTAATATGTTTTATTTGAAGGTCCTGCCTCTCAAGTAACCGTTCAGTGGTAAAAGGGTATTAATTAGACTTGTATGCCGCTGGATCGGAAAAGTAAAGTATTAGACTTGTATCATGTTAACTATAGAGTTAGTAGTACTGAACTTTAGAATTAGATCTGAGAAGCACAGAACAACCATTCCTGTCTGTGGCCAGCAAGCAAGTGAAGTTTCTTCAGTACTTGATGTGAGTAGTGAGTACTTCCTTTGTGTTGGAGTTGGACCAAAACAATCCACCCTTAGGCTACTCCAAATACTCCAATGTAGGAGGATCCCACATAGGACAGGCACAACACTCATTAATATTGAAGACCAAAGAAGTAGAAAAAAGAAATTATTATTTCCCTTGACTAAGACTAACACAGATATTATAAACTACACTTATTGTGTGGGTGCACTTTGTCTTTTCTCTTCAATTCTATCAAACAAAACTCTTCCCCACAGCAAAACTTGATGCACAGATGCCTTAGCATGCCCCAGCAGTCGTGTGGTAGTGGCGTGCTCGTGCAGCGAGGGAAACAGGGGAACAGTCCGGACATAGAGAGACAGTTGTCTACCAGCCTGCAGGAGGAACATCTGGCATCGATGGGTCAAGGTCGGCGGCAAGAGGGAGACGGGGATAACGACGCAGCACCACCGCACAGGACGGAGAGCCGAGTGAGGTTCTCGTGAAGTTTATGTAACGTTTGTCGTTGTTAAGTTTAGCCGTTTGATGTGCTGTCAGCTCGGATGGTCTTGTCCTGGACTACAGTACATCACTACCTTAGAATTCAAAGTTCTATCCAATATTTTTGTCCATATTAAGTTACTGATACCATGAGGTCAGAAACCAAATTTTGTAATCTGCTCTATTAAAATCATATGAATATTCGGAGTCGCTACCAAGATATTCAAAGAATTGCATTCGAAAAAGGCTTGACCTTTCATGTTGTGAAACTCAACATTTTGTATGTCAAATTTCTCAAAACTAGGTACTGAGCAGATAGGACTTTGTAATTCTAGGATACTGACTATAGGACTTTGTAATTCTAGGGTACTGACTAATGACCTTGGCTTAAATGTCAAATAGGGGCATTTTTTGAATGAGGTATTTTAGCTTTCCTGGCCCTGAACCATTTTGTCTAACTAGAAATATAAATTGAACTCGGAGATCCTGCCTGTGGTTTATAGAATGTCTGTTTTGAAAGGGACTGTTCAACTCATATCAAACGTATTTAGATTTTTGTGGTTACTGCTTTTCCAAGATGAGACTCTCTAAATGTTTGTGTCATCCTGTCCTGTTTAGCCTTTCGAAAATGTCGTGGATTTTTAAAATTATTCGATTGACACCCCTAACATCGCGACACTTTTGTATCGTGGTTTTTCAGATAATTTTGAATGTATTATATCAGGTGGCACTGCTGTTTTTGCATTTAGAAAGTTCTTTGTAACATGCTAAAGATTTATGTAAGAATTTAGATTCTATGTTCACTTGTGTGGTTATGGAAGGAGGCAATCTCAATTGAATAAGATACTCGATTGGGAAATAAACAATTTGCTCTTCAAGTGCCAAGTGTAAAATGGGCGCTGAATATTTATTTTTCGGAATTCGCCCCCCTCCAAAAATGTCTAGTTACTCTGTGATACTTGTGTATGTATTGTAATACAGATGGAGTCTTCCATTTTCTCTTTCAACCTGGATCAAATTTATTTGTATTCGTCATTTTTGTATTGACTTTTGTATACCCTGTTGGTTTTTTATATGCTTGAGTATTTTGGAAGTGTGCCAACTGTTAAAGGATATATGACTATGTTTTGTTGACTTGATTTCATTGTATTGATGGGACTCATTGTTGTTTGGCTCTTTTTTTTGGAGGGGGGGGGTGTGTGTAGAGCAGGATTGTTTGTTTGTTTTGGTAAAGTGTTTTACGGCGCTCGCAACTGCATAAGGTCATATGAGCGCGCGGGACACACCTAATATTTTCAGTTGGTAGGAAATTTTGAATTTTGCCCGGGTGGCGGCCGAAGCCTACTCTTATCAATTTTAGACCACCAAGGGATCTTTAACGTGCGCAACTTGCACACAGGCCCTCCGAGATTTTTTCGCCCTTGTCCGAGAAGGTTAGGTGTAGATCTTTCCTACCAGAAGATCAGGGGTGTGGCTGAAGGACAGCAGAAGAAGAAGCAAAGGAGTAGCAGTAGAAAGGCTGCAGAAAGAATCAGGAGCCCAAAGGAAGGGGCAAAGGAGATGAGGGGGTGGGGGCAGAAGGAGAGCAGAAACCAAAGTAACAAAACATGGACAAATCTTCTCGTTACAGAAATGTTTGTGTGTGCTTGCAAAATGAAGTTTAAAATACATATTGAAGATTGTTGTATTTTAGATAATTTTGTTCAAGGACTGACACTGGACTGTTACCTGTCTTACTAGAAAATGACTTCCAAATGAACACAGCTGAATGTCTCATTTGATCCCTGTGTTTGCCAATATGTATGTTTGTCATGTTTGTTTCTAGTATTTTCACTGGCTTGAAGTTTGTCACTGTTAACAAAATTTAGTTGGGTTTTTTTTTTTTTTACTGTTAACAGCATTTAGCTGGTTTTAAAAACCAGTTCTCAGAATGAGCTGAACAATGTCACTATAATATTTATATATATATACTTTTGTCTGTTTTTCTTTGCTGTGCTGGGTTTGGTTTTTTGGTCTTTTAAAGCTGTAATGTTTGGTTTCTTTTTTATACATTTACTACTTTTACGGAAATGCCCCTTCAGATTACTTCAGAGTTGTAGCTCAGATAGACCTAAAGAATATAATATCGCAAAAAGTAATTATGTTTTCATATATTTTGTGAAGCAGCCTTTTTTCTGTTGGTACAATTTTGTAAATGTTTTGGTAACAGTTTTTTTAGTTGTTTAAAAAAATATATAATTCTGTTATTACTGTACTGCTTATTCTGCTTAATGAATACTAGCTTGCCTGTCACTTCTGATGTGCAATGATTCCAAAGTGCTCTGTTTGTGCACAAGTCTCATTGACAGAGGGGTGTGCCATAAGCTCAATTTAATATCATGCTTGGCTGCTCTGAATAGAGCCCTAGTTCAAATCCTAATTAAACTGTAATCGCTTTTGCAGTATATTGTGTATATATTGAAACAAACGCTTGCACTATGATATGTGTGTGTGCCTAGAGAAAGGTACCAAAAGTTGCCCCAGACCATTTCGAGCTACAGGCTGATAATGACAATAAATCACTTTTTTGGCCAAAGTGTGTTTCCATAAAAAAGTGATAGATCCACCATTTTTTTTACAATGTGCTCAAAGGGTTTTCATTGATTTGACTTCTAAATATTGTATTTTGAATTATTTTGAGGTTAGGGTACTATAAAAACAAATAATGAGAACTGCTTTTAAAAGGTGTTAAAATCTATTCGTGAAGCACTTTTTCTCTTCCCTGCTATGTTTTATCATTGAAATTCCATTCATGATAGACCCTATTGATGTCAACTGAATGTCAAATTGGAAATGAATTTTCCAAGATTAAATACATTAAAAAAATTTTTTTTTTTAAAGCTTGTATGTCTTCTCACGCTTGTTAAACTTAAAAGCTCATTTTCTCAAATCATACTTTTATACCCTACCTCGCAAAATGTGCAGTATCTCAAAAACTACTTGAGATATATGTCTAAAAAATTCAAAAACCACTGTGTTCAGCCTTGAATGTCCAATAAGGTACAATTCTTAACTCAAAATGGTCAAAATCCGACTTTTGGTACCTTTCTTTAGGCACACACACTCATATATTATATTTACAAACATTATTACAAACAAAATTCATATCATGTGCTGTCCATGAAGACAGCCCGTTGCCATTATTAATTCTGAATTATTAAGTCTTATTAGCTCATTTCCCGCACAATGACTGAATAGAGATATACACATACTAGTGTGTGGGCAGGCCCGCATGATATATTGAAAACAGACCCATTTCACTGGTGTTTTTTGTGCAATGGTTTGGCTGCCTAACCCCTTCTTGACCTGTATGACGTGTGCCATCCGTCATTTTTTCTTACACCGCGAACGAGCCAAGATGCTGCTGTGACGTATTGCATTGGTTATGCCTTGCGAGGCGCAAGGACCATGATGACGAACGCCATTCGTCATAGGCTGTATTCTGCATACTGCTTCTATTAGATGCATTACATAAGATTAATCACAGATTCACCTTGGGGAATATTTATTTCGTAGAGAGAGAATTTTTCCTTTTAGATATAGACTGTAATGTTTGAAAACCGGGTCTGATTATAGGACACTGACCACTAAATCTAGCGCTACTCTGTGTCACTGGGGATCCAAAACTGTGCTAGGTGCTGCATGAACCAACCCTGTGTCACTGGGGATCCAAAACTGTGCTAGGTGCAGCATGAACTGACCCTGTGGCACAAAGGGGTTAAATTGCTCGAGGGCGCTCCATCAGTTTAGTTGGTATCATGCTGGACTAAGGAGTGGATGGTTCTAGTTCAAATCCAAGACTGAAAGTTCCTGAGCTCGGGTTATTTTGTGGAGTTTTCTAGTCTCTCAGAATGTAAACCATTTGGCGAGGCCTTATCCGAGACGGATGTTAAACTTGGGAGGTCCCGCCACTTAATCAGCCTAATAGTATTGATCGGGGCTTTAATCCGAAGCATTTACTTTAATTTGCGAGATAGAAAATGTGAATGGGATCACGGTGTTGGTAAATTATTTTCTGTGGTGCCTCCACATTTCTGTTGGGGTTTCTTCCTGGTAACGATTTTTTGTTCTGGATCAAATCCATGTTTCAATCCGTAGTCACCATGTTTTTAAAGAAATTTGTGTCATTGGACTCTATTGGAAGGAGAGTTTTGCTGGACTCAATTGGTTGTGAAGGCTGGACAATCACTAAAAACAGTGAAAATAAAGTAGAAGCAACAGAAATGTGGTTTCATAGAAGACTGCTGAGAATATTGTGGAAGGAAAAGTAATCAAATGAGGTAGTGCTCGACGAAGCCCACATGGGACGCTCACTGTTGAAAACAATCAGGAAACGACAAATGCAGTTTTGGGGACACCTGAATAGACATGAAAGTTCTTGAACATCTAGCTCTCACTGGCAAAATTGAAGGCAAACGAGGCTGGGGTAGGCCCAGAGCAACCTATTAAGGGAACCTAAACAAATGGGTAACAGGGAAAGAGCAGGGAAACATAACTGTTTTGAGAGCATCAGGACAAAGGAATGAATGGAGAGCCATGATCGCCGATGTTTGTCGCAGATCTGGCACTGGATGAAGATGAACGAGGGTAGACCCTGATAATGCAGGCTTGAAGTAGCCACACTCCAAGATCGTTGTTGTAGCCATGACATTTTTATTTCTATCAGTTTTCCCACACACCTTTTTAATAGTAACAACAGAATCTCAACTAAAAGTTTACAGCCATACCAAAGGTTGTTTTTTTAAAATAAAGTATTTAGGTTTTTATATTTGTATTGCCTTATTCGTTGGGTTTTTTTAGGGGGGGGGGGTTCTCTCAAATTCGAAGAGCACATATTATAATGATAATTTAAGTGGTTACTTGCACAAAGCCACAAAGATACTATACTATTATGCACAGCACTCTCTTGAGGAAATTCTTTTTTGGGACATTAAATATTTCTTCTATATATTTTGACTGTATATGTTTGTATGATCTATATATTATATATATAAAACTTCATTTGAGTTTAAATTGAAGGTGAAGAGAAGCACTATAACTGCACGGTTATGGTTTTCTAGTGATGAAAGAAACTTTTTTATTTTTTACAAAATATGCAGATCAAACCTCTGCGTAATATTTGTCTTCAAGTAAGTATTTTCTTTAGTTAGATTGTACATTTTGTTTCAGAGCCTATGC